TCTGTGGTCAGATAGTAACTAATTTGAGATCAATAACAACAAGAATTATAACATCTTTCAAGTATTTTACTCCTGTAAAGCTGTTACTCAGAGTGATCACATTGGTACCAAGTATGGTGTTAGCAACAAAGAGAATTGTTAAGAACTGAAAAAGCAAGCTCATGTCAGCCATGGGCCGTTAGACTCTGCTGGACATGATTGAATAGGAGAAAATTTCCTTTCCACACAACAAATTGGACACTTATTAAATCTGGAAACATTTTTTAGAATTATTTTGTGCCTATCTGATGTCTAGACTGGCTTTATTCCTGATGACCTGCAGAGTATTGCTGTGTGGTCTCCTGGCATAGGAATTTGAGATGAGTTTTATTTGGCCTCGTTCTTTTTTCTTTTTGATATGTGTTCAGTGACTAGTGAATAAATACATGCCACATCACATTTGTCAGAGGACAGCTGTCATTGAATATGCATAGTAAAGCTTAGATGTGCACAAGTTAATGGTGTTTATCCCTTTCATGGTATTTATTGTAAAGCTTGAATTGGGACATAAAGCCCCTAAAGGTGACAAAATGTTCTTTCAGTTGCTGCCTATATTAAAAGGATTTCACTATAGTGTATGCATTTAATGGTACCACCACTGCTCAGATAGCAAATGGAATGACACTGCCAGGTTGTGTTTTGGTTCTCTGATACATGGTTCTCCGGGCCATGTGGCTGGAATTTCAGTTTTAAAGCTAGTTAACAGATACTTCTATTTAGCAGGCTGTTACCATTATAAAAAGCAAGTAATTTTAATAAACAAGTATACTTTTTGATTAAGTCTTTCAGGCCTCTGCGAGTGATAATACAAGAATTCTGTATTGTTGTACTTTAGGCTTAGGTTTTTAAGATACTGTGTCTATAGTCAGATTTATTACCCTAACCTAAATTTACCATTGTAGTGCCATGGAAAGTCTAGCAGTGTGATATGATGGAGTTTCTACAGGGGGAAAATAAATTTTTAAATCTTTCCTTAGCAACAGCAGATTTGATCATATTAATGTATATCATTTATACACAACTTAAAAAAAAAAAAAACAAGCTACAATTCACTAGACCCACAATTAATACACCTTTAACTCATGGTTCTGTGATTTTATTAAAATTAATATGTGATTAATGTTTTAAAAGACACTTAATGGCAGACTTCCTAGTCTCTTCCATGCTAATCACAATACAAAGGGCACTTGGATTCAGTAAAAGTTCTTCCAGGTGATTCATCCAAAACTAATGCTAGAAGTTGTGGATGTCGGTGTAGTCATGCAGTCTGCTTTGTGTGAGTACATAAGAATTCATTTATAGCTATGGTAGGGAATATAGAAATGTTAAGCACATCTCTGAAAGAAACCAGGGCAGTTTATCCAGGGCACCCTGGCACACTGGAGTAATGTACAACAGTTACTGGAAATTTTCACTTCAGGCTTGAGTCACAGTTCTTTGGAAACGAGGATCAAGGCATAGTTAGCTGAGTAACAAAATCAACCAGATTTAAAGGCTATTTGATAGACTTCTTGTACATAGTAAGGTTGCATTTGGCTCCCTGCTCTGATGATAATATTTTCATATCCAAAGATAGTATACATCTTTTAGCAATTTTTACCTCTGTGAAGAGATGGAAATATCTTGTTGTTGTTGTCCCTGCATTTCTTCGATATGCTGTAATATTTTAGAATGAGGCTATGGTTTCACTGTGTATAGGCTGTATATTGTTTCAACATAGCATGAACTATAATCTGGCCTACATCACTAAAAAAAAGATGTCTTATAAACTCTGTATGGTTGTTCCAACAAATTAAAGCAATAGCAACACAATTGATAATGCTGATAGTTTGGGGGATTATATACAGGCAGGGCTGTGAACATAATCCAAGTTTATACATTGATGTCTGTATACAGCATTTCCCAAAGAGCCAGATGCGAGAGACTTCTGCACATCTGGTTGTTTTATTAGAATTTTGAAACACAGAATAGTCAATAAATGTATGTGTATATCCACAGTGCAATTTCACTATATATAATGGATATTAAGAGGATGCACCAAGGTGGAATGATGAAGTTGTCCAATTCTCTGCATTGCATTGTGAACAGTCAGATGGGTTTGCGTTGGTCTGTATATCTCAGGAATAAAAACCAAAAAAAATCCCAAAGAAATGCTCCTCCTAAGTATTTTTTTAATCTCCCTTATTTCTTTCCGTTTTAATTGTCTTTTAAAATTAGGTTTATGGGTCATTACACAAGTACACAAAAACCCATGTATGACAAAATAAGTCTCTAAAGTAGGAAGTAAAATTTCTCCAGATTTAGTAAGAGAACATGAAGTGCAGTTTTTATTTATGTATTTATTTTAGAGTTGTAAAGCGTGGTCAAGAACCTGCCAGACCTTTGTCATAGTCACCTACACCTGACGCCTTCCTCTGTATAGCTGTGTTTCAGTTGTTTGTGGTTTTTTTGAAACTGAAGTATAAAGTAGATAATTTTGCTGCTAAATGGACATTTTGCATGAAGATCTGAGTGAAGTTCCTAGTCTGCTTTTATCAGTAAACTTACAATTCTGTCAGCTAAATATAAATATATTTTTAAATGAACTTGACTTCCTGTAGGACTCAGTGTAGAAGCTCACTGGTCATGTTTTGCTGAAGAATGCTGTTGGGCTGTGCAAGTTCTCACAGTTTTCATATTTATCAATGCAAAGGTTATTTAAGACCTTTTACAACTTGTTAAACTAGAAAAGCATAAGATTATTGAGAGTAAGTTGTGATTTTGGTTGAGTTAGATGAATTCATAATGAAACTGTTTCTACCCCCCCACTATTGTCCAAAGAAGGGTGAGTGGCTTCTTTGGCGACAAGGGTAGCAGGGGTTTTCTGTTCATTTTTAAACCTTGGAATGAAACTCACTTGACTGAATCGCTTATTTCGCAATAGAATAAACTACAGTCCTTCTAGGGTGGTTGTTTTCTTCTTTTCCAGAGGAAATCAATTCCACTGGTTACAGGGAACTTGGCCATCCAGTGAGAGTGAATGTCTTTAAGGAGCGCATACATAAGGTGTACAAATTTTTCTTACTGCTTCTCTCCTAAAATAAGGATAGAATATATAGATTGAAAGAAAGGTTGTCCACAGCCCCTGCAACAGTGTTCTGGATAAAATAACTTTTTGTGTTCTACTTAGAATTGTTCTTCAAGAACTATACAAAATGGGATAAGTTAAATTTAGTGATACATGGTACACATAATTTGCACTGCTAAGCTATAAGAAGACATGGATGGGCACAATATTGTGATTTGTTTGGAAATTTGTATGTCAGAGAATGAAAAATCCGGTGTTTCTTTGGGCACAGGAGTCCTGGAGCCATGTCTTGATGGCTGATTTCGGTGCTTTTCCCAAGGCTGGCCAGTTATAGAGATGCCACTGTTTGTGGATTCTTTGGTATTTAGTAAGTGTTGGGTTTATGCTGGAGCTTTTTTCAAGTACAGCTATACCCTGGTGTCTGCAGAGGGTGTTTCTGAACAGTGTGATATGACAGCAATGCAGTGCTGCTTGTAAAGAATGATGTGGTAGAGAGGGACTCATGTAGGGACTTAAGACCTGCACAGGGCTTAAATACCCAGGAACAGCATACGTGATTGGGAGGTTGAGAGGCAGGAGTAGGTTATCAGTCAGCCACTGGAAGAGGTGCTGACTTTTACAGATGCTGGAATTTGGAAAGGATCATTCTAAAAAATAACAACATCTGTGAAAGTGCTTGATCATTACCCACTTTTTCTGTCCTTCGCTCTTGAACTGATGTTGATTTATCTGAGGAAGATGATGACTGAGGTGAAGATGTAACTGTTGAGAAAGGCAGTGATAACTTTCACAGTGAAAGGTTTTTGGCGGGCATTCAGCTTCATAGATTAAAGCCATTCCATGGACCCTTCTGAAAAGCTTGCATCATCTCTATATGGGGTGATCCTGATGATCCTTCCCCTGCCTCTCTATCATTGATGTCATATCTACTGCTCCTTTGTATTAAAATACTGTGTGTTTCTGAAGTCCCTGCATGCATTCTGTTCTGCTACATGATTTTTTATAGGAAAAAGTTGCTTTGCCGTCAGTCAAGCTCAGCTGCTTTATCTGTGAGACTGGTGACAGCGAAGCAGGATATTAAATGAGCAGTGGTGGAACTCAGAATGAAAATAGGAAAAGAATTGATACTGGGATTGCTTGATCATAAGTTCCTTCCATTTCTTGCTACCTGCTTTCACAAAACTTGTAGAATCATGTTCATCTTTGACATTTATCTTTTCTTCCCCTAATCTCCACCATATTAGATTGAAATCAGCCTGCCAAATAGTTACTTAAGCTAAAGCTGCATGAAATAAAATTCTTCATGGTCAGGGATTTGAGAAGAGCATAGGGGAAAATCTTCCTCACAATTCTTGTAGGAGTCTATAAGATTCTCAAAATAAAAGATAACCTGGGAGACTCAGAGTAGAAAAATAAAGAGTGCTTTAAGATACAATAGTCTCAGAACCGTGAATCTCTAGAGACTGGGAGGATGTTGGACTTGGACACTGACTCGGAGAATTTTGCAGTCTATCCCAGCATGGTTCTTTCCCTTAACTGATACACTGGAACAATCTTTTACTGCTTTGTGTGTAACTCAAATGCTCCTTTCATCACTTTGCAACTAACATTTTTCTTGCCATATCATCTGTCTTGTTATAAGCTTAAAAATATATTTAAACCAGGAAATCTTAAACCTCTCTTGTCTTCCCTCTTATCCCCACCTTTCTCCACTTTAGAAATTGAGTTGGGAGAAATGATTGTTCTTTTCTCTGTAATTTTTACCTGTTTACAATATACAGCCATTTTCTGTGTGTTCAGAAAGACTATACTTTTATTTTGTAAGCAAAATATGATGATGAATCGCATTATGGATATTATATTTTAAATCCTTTTCTGTTTGTTTGTTTGACAGGTTCTTGACCAGTATGAACGAGAAGGGTTTAATTTCCTAGCTAAAGTTTTTAATTCTTCACATTCCTTCTTAGAAGACTTGACAGGTCTAACTTTATTACACCAGGAGACACAGGCTGCTGAGGTAAGCAAGTACAGTTTGGACTTTAAGAATAAACAGGTGGCAGTAAAGCCTGCTTGGGTTTATGTTCAGCTGTATAACCATGTGATTAAATGAATCACTGATAGAATCAAGCAGTGATATTTGATTTACACAGTGATTTACACAAGTCACATGCATATTCAATCCAGTGAGATAAGATGTGTCCTCTTAATGTTACAGAATAAGAAATATTGTTGGATGTGAGAGATCATTCTTTTTTCAGAATAGATGATGGGATGACTGTTGACAGCGTCAGAAATGTGTAGCACTGTTATTGTTAATTTTCTTGTTTTTACATTCTGTGAAATTACAGAAATATTTTAAGTAACAGCTGTTGCTTGACAGGTCTGCATTTATATCAGGAAAGTTCCTGTTGTCTTTTAGGGTGTGTTTCACTGGCAGTGTAAACTGCAGTTTGTGCAAGCGTTACAAGTGCTGTCTAGAAGTACTGATAATAGGTAGCCATGATAGCACTGAGCCCAGTATGCACTGAGAACCACAGTATTTACACAGGTTCCTAGATAGGTTAGACATTCTGTTAAAAGAATTGTAACTTTTTATATCTGAGTTTTCAAGTATTGCTTTAAAAAAACCCAAAGTGAGGTGTTACATGTGGTAAGGATCTCAATAAACATTTTAGGTCAATCTAAAATGTAATTATTATACTGCTTGATGGATTATAATATGTGGAAGAAATGCTGTTTATTTGTCTAGTGACAAAAGTGGAATGAAATTGGGGTATGTTTTGTTCTCGGGGGCAGTAACCCTGTCTAAAGAGTTGCGATATTGAGTTTGTCCCATAAAAAATAAAACAGCTATCTGTCTTAATCTTGTATTTTAACAATGATTTGTAATCTTTAGTCCGTCCACAAATGTCTATACTGTTCTACATCTATAATTTAATTTTGATGTAGTCATATCACAAAGATATTTCTAAAGTTGGCTTTGAGAAGTGATTATTCAGTTCCTGTAGCCTGTGCAAACGGTATAGCTGTTTTTTCAGCTGGAAATGGCTCAACAGTGTTCCTTAATAGGGTTTGTACAGGATAATGATGACTTGGCTCTCTGTTTCATGTTTTAACCTTTTAAAATAATTGAAGCAGATGATGGAGACATTAAACGATGAAATACCTGTTGCATTCTTAAATCAGCCTGGTGATACCTAGGAAAAAATTAAATACATATGAGAGGGATCCAAGAAAGGAAAACAAATACTCTTTAACAGGTGCTACTCATTAACAATGAGTGATTGCAGTCTGATTGCCATACCTGACTTCTAGGCTGCTAATGATGGCATTAAAAGCAATTATGATTGCCCTAGCTATTAATGTATTCTTTTGCAGATATTAATTAATAAATTTCTTTTTCAGTTTCAGAATGTATGCAGGTGTTTGTTTATAAAGTTTTAGATATTCTTTACAAAATGTAGAGCTTCTTGTGAGTTTATTGCAACTTACTGAGTTTAAGATAAAAAATTGAATTATTGTGCTTTCAAAAATCTTTGGGCTCAACAGTGAGGTTTATGCAGTGAAATCATTGCTCGTAGGTGGAAAAACTGACATACAAAACATTTGCAAAGCTAATGCATTCAGATTAGCCCAACTACCGTAGAACCAGTAACTTTGCTTGATCACTTCACTGTAGCATTGCTGTATTTTTGTCAAAAACTCACTTGCTTTGTCAAAGTGAACTATGTTAATAGTCTTGGTAAAGTTTGTATTTATGTGCAGTAAGGTCTAAGAGGCAGATTATTTGCAGGTTCTGGAGCATGCTTGCTTCTTTTGGATTACAAGACCTATTCTTTCACTACATTTTGCCACTGTTGACTCTGAAAAATACAGAGGTGGTTTTGTTGTCCTATACTACCTCAGTACATAATCTGTGGGAGTTTTAAAAAATTTTAGGTGCATGAAAGCCTGCTTTAGTAAATTTTCTGCTGAATTATTCTTGCACTTTGAGCTTGTTTTTTCTCATACAATGCAGTTGGTGCAGTTTATGTTGCTGAGTTTGAAGATGGTGAAATGTTTTTTCAGGTTTCTGGCTACTTTTGGGCTGCTGTTGGCAGAATGTATTCACTGAAATGGAGGGGTTAGACTTGTTAAGATCAGTGCTCTTTAGGTTGATCTAAAATATTCTTGATACATGACATTCTAAAAACTGCAACGATAGTAGTGAAAGAGGTTTCATAAGACATGTATGGCTTACTTTGATAATTAGAATATTTGATTGTTTTGTTGAGAAGCTACTTGTCTTTCTGCACTAAAACCCTCCAAAGGGATTCTGTAGGTGATTGTTGGGTTTGGAGACAATAAAAATGTCTTCTAGTAACTGAGATTTTCTTTTCCTCCTCTCTGGTAAAATTTGACCAGTGCCATTGCTTCGCTGTAAGGAAAATAGACTTGTAAAGTTACATGTCATCCAAACTTAAATTCACTGCAGTAACATCATAACTGTGTTTCAATTCCATATATAAAATCTCCAACATTAGGCTAATAAACCTGCATCTGATAGGGAAACTACTCAATCTCATTCTTTTTTTAAAAGGATTGCTCTTAAAATGTTGATTAATTAAGAGCGTTTAATTGAATGTTTTGCTCAGAATGGTTTGTTGTGGTCAGAAGAACAGGAGGTTTTGTCATGCTGGTCTTAGGCTTCAGCATATTGCATCTTAAGTTAAATCACAGGCCTAACCTTTTTCTGTTTTGTTTTGTTTTTTAATTCACTTCACAAATGCTCAGCTGCTTTCATGGTGTGTGTATATGAGTGTTTTAATGAGATAAAAACACTCATTTTAAAAAACTGCTTCTAAGTTTTAAGTTGCTTAACAGAGATTCTGGGTAAGTCATGCATGCTCTGTAGGAGTGGCTGACTACATTAAATAGAAAGTTTTTGGCCGGCCTGAAGTTTCCATGAAAACCTTACCTCCCTACATGCTTAGCACAGACTGCCTTTGCCCGGAATAAAGGAATAAAATTTGCAGTAAGATAAGGAAGACTTTTCACTTACTGAATATCATTTTAACGTACATTGTTCAATTTCCTGTTCCAATGCTGACCTAAGTATTAATACCATCCTAACATACTTTACCTTATCTTTTTTAAAAGACTGATAAAAATATAATTCAATGTGCAACCAGAGTAGGAATCAAATCACAAATTTAGTTTGTGGTTCAAATTTGATACTAATTGCAGGATTGTTATTCAGTAGAGCAGCTATTTCTTTAACATGAGATGCATCAGGAAATTATAAATGTTCTACATGACTTCCTTAGCATGACAATTTACTCAATAAATAATAAAATTAGCAAGTGTTTCTGTTCTGTCTTGAAATGACAGTAAATTTCAGGCAATTGCTTTTTCCACATCTGGCTTTAATTTAGGTTCTGTGGAACATTTTTTTTTTTTTTTTCTAATACTAGTTAGATATTTATGTACAGCTTCAGCAAGGGACTCTGATGACATGCCTGGCTTTGAAGGCCAATAGAAGCTGTGGGAAACTCCCACGTCAGCACTTAGACCTTGTTTCCACTGGATACAGTTCACTTTGGGAGCTGCCCAAGCTCACATAAAAATTGCGCTTCTGTTTTCCAGATCACTTTGTCTCCTTACTCCTAACCTAAACTTTTTAACTTGACACTTGTTCAATGTGTAGTTGAGTTTAATAGCTGAGCTTAAAATAGAGAAGGCCTATGCATCTCTTGAATTGTTAATCAGAAACTGGAGACATTGATTTGGAGACAGAACAACGACCGACTGACTTCCAGTTCAGAACTTGGCTGGGCTGCCCAGCGACGGTTGTGTATCACAGTGCTGCCTGCTGGTTTGCTTGCCACACACACCAGACTGAATACTGCAAAGTGCATTGGGTTCTGCTGGTATGGAGAGCTCTTTATATTTAATCTAGTCTAAAATGATATCTTTCCTGATATGGACTTGACTACTCTGTGTTAAAGATTATTTTTTTACTGATGTGGCACACTTCTGGAAGTGAAAACTGACACATGAATAAAACCCACAGTCAAGTTTATTCCATACTTGTGGAAGAACCATTTGCATTTATAAGATTTTCTAGGACTACTTCTTTAAGGCTACTCTTTGTTGTTGCCTTCTTTCTTCAGAAACAACTGCCACTGTTCTTCAAGGCCCAATTAAGCAAAGTAACCAGTCTTATCCTTACTTGAACATACATACGTAAGCGCTCTTGAAATAACTGGGACTGAAGCATCTATTGAAAGGTAGTGATAGAAGGAGCAGTGATAGTGATAAAGTGAAATTTTTGCCTGAATTCACTGTAGTAGGTGTAGTTGAATTTCTGTAAAAGACTTTTTCAGCTATATCCATTTTCAGAAGTACAGAAACTCAATTTCTCTCTGTTCTTAATAAGACCCAAGTATAAATACAATCTCTTTCTTTGGATTTCAATTCCCGAATTACTTAGATGCTTTAGGAAACTTTATTATCCTTTCTGCTTTCATCAGGATGAGAGAAAATAATGAAATACATAAAAGACATAAAATTTTCACTTTGATGATTGATTAAAACGCAAGAAGTGTCTGAGCTCTTGCAATCTAAGAGAATCATAAAGAGTTTGTTAAAAATCAAATCCGGACCAGAGTTCATATTTTTGAATGTGATTATAAAGGTCAGGTATTGGTGCCAGCAGGACATGATATCTATGTTATTTTACTTCAGTAACTTTGTACTTCAAATCTTCTGTCTCTTACAATTTGTGATCCATAGTATCTATTGTTTCTCTGACAAGTTCGTGTAGCCAGTAAATGAACCCTATTTAGTATTTGCAAAATCTGCTTGCTGTGCTGATTTACTGTATCCCAAACAATGCAGATTATAACTCATAGCCTACAGAAGAGTAGGACAAATTAAAAAAAAAAAAATAATCATGCTAGTAAAATATTTTGAGCTCTTTGAATAGGAGAAAATACAGAAAACCCATTTTTATTCTGATTCTGCACTTATTTGAAG